AGCGATTTCGAGTATTAACTAGAGTCAACAAATAAGAAGGTTTACAGTGCGGTCACCATACAGCAACATTGTTTTTTTACAACGGATAATAACCCAACTGGTATTCTCGCTTTCTTCTATGCTCTGCCATCCCAAACCATAGCGCACACCATCTGATAATCTCCTGTTCTCCTTGGTTTTCAAAAAATGCGCCGTTCGGTACCCATTTATAGTCGTGTTCCAATCTGTCCTCCCTTTTGCTCCATGTAGTGTGGTGTAGGAGCTAGAAAAAACGAATTGCGGGTCCTCTGCAGAACCAGAACCAGTAACATTGAAGTTTCCGAAAAATAGCATAGTACACTAGCTAGCCGCAATTAAAAACGAGCACCAAAATTTCAAAGAAAACAAGCCTCGACATAGGTGATGATTCTCTACGCACCGAGCTTCATTCAGCATTCATTTGATCAGTTCATTGAACCGCTCAAAATACGCCATAAAAAGCTCGTTAAAACGTTGTGCATCCAAACTGTGGCACAGCTGCGACGTTGTATTGAGTTTTCGATCACATGGAAGTCATAAGTTCAGTGATCTCGACGTTTTCTTCTTCAATCAAAACTTCGCACCAACCACAGCCTAGGTCCAGTGGGGTCGGCGCGCATCGCTTTTATCGTGTGCTTGCCGCAATGAGGACAGGCGTCAAGTCCATCCCCATGATCAGCGCAAATATGGTTTGTAACATCGCATTCAGTCACGGACGGCGTGAGGATGGCGGGATGACATCACCAGCTGGCCGCCTCGCTCTTCCCAATGGTAGGTGAACGAGTTGACAGGAAAACATCCAATGGTGGACGCGCGGTAGGTGGATAACGCCATTTGCGACCCGACATATTGCGGTGAGTATCAACTGTGTATCTCGAATGCGTTGAACGTCGCGAAGCGTTCCGTACATGTCAGCTCAGTGAAATTTAGCATAAGCATAGAAGGTCGTGCTGTACCAGGGGACCTCTGGTCACAACGCGAAAGAATTCAAAGACAACTCGTTGCAGCCATAGTTACATCCCTGAGGCTCTGATTAGAAGCTGAAACATTTGAATGCAAGCTTTTAATGCCTCTGCACAAAACACTAGGCAATGTAGTCTTATGACTTGATTTTGTATTCCAATATAAATTGTTGCTGGCCGGCTCTGTTGAACATGATGATGGGCACGCGATTTGAGGCCGAAACAAGCGTTGCATTACGATAGGTTGGTGAGCAGAATCTACAAGAGAGAACTAGTGAGTAGGAGGCAAACCATAGTTTCGACCGCTAATCTACCGGTATCCAGTTCGAGTCTGATCCTCAGTGGTCTTGATTTCCACGCCTCCTAGAATGCAGCCGTCATGAGCGTAGCCGTGTGAAATAGATTTGACCGTAATTTCAATCTTCTTTCCTTCATCAGCCTGGAAAAGTCTAGATCCAACTCATGAACATGTTGCAACTGCCTTTCATCGCATACCTCAATCCAGTAGTTGCAGAACTCGAACTCGTCCCTCACACCACCACCAAAACCAAGTCTTTTGACGATGATCTGCTTGCGCTCTGTCGCTTTCAATGTATCTCCGCATCCGGGCGGCTACAAAATGCGGCATCAGTGACGGTTTTCGCCTTGACACTTTCCTAACTTACTCGCTTGTCGCAAAGTGCGCCACCATAGCCGCTTGGACAAATACATTCGGAGCAGTTTCGTGGATGAGGGAATCCTCCATTTTGGCACTTCGCTGAGGTCGCATTCGGGCACTTTGCTGAACAAAAATGATGTCAAGCCAGTTTCACATAGTATAATAGACTTAACAACAGTTCCCCTACCTTTGCAATTATAGTGATCGTTAATCATAGACTTATCAATGAACGAAATGATCTGCGAGCCCATCGACTCCTGGTACCTTGTATCATTGGCTACCATTGTGGGTTTCTTGTTGTGAGAGGCGCTGAATCATTGGGTATTTGTCACCCTAGTTCACAGAATGCTGTGATTTATATTCACCTGGCTGCTCCGTAATGCATAATGCTACCATAATCATAGGTAAATCCATAGTTGGTAGTGGTTTCATTTGTCTCTTTCACGTACTTGATCCACGAAACCTTCCTGGAAGACGGTAGAATTTTCTTGCGCTTTTTTTTGAAGTGAAGTGTATATAGGTGACTCACCACAACATTATCAAGAACGACTGTAATAAATTCATCACGATCGTAACGTGACATGGTGTGGAAGAGCCCAAGCGCGTGACCGAGTTCATGTGTAGCGATTCCAACCTTAATTTTGCGCTACGGTTGACGGAGAAGGGTTGTTAGGTGAAAGTTCCTATCAGTTCTACAGGTCTGTCGAGTGAAAACTTCACAAGCTCGTCTAATTTTACCTGTTCGCAGCCTTCACCAAGTGAGAGAGGTTGTTCACCACCGACTCGTCCTACATATGACCAGCAGCCATCCTCACTTGATTAAAACAATGCTGTTTTCAGCTGGAATGGCATCAGATGATTATGTCATCAGCCATCGGTTGTTTTATGATGGGTGAACCTTTTTTGTCTTTATCTTCAGTGAAGTTCAGGCAGGTTACGTCTTCCCATTGTTTCGCACCCATTTGGAATATTCTCCTTACATAAGGGTCTAGAACAGTTTTGTTCGGTAAAGACTATGTACTGATTTAATACCAATGAGTTCTTCCAACGTCAAAAAATCCGAAACTGACCTACACCATCGTCGAAGCGGTAGAAGACTCCTTGTTGCCACGTGGTGTTAGGATATGCTTGATCCTTGAACGCTTGTCTTTTGGATCGACCGGACGTTCCTTCGACGCTTTCCATTACTTCTTCTTGTTGTCTCCTGGACATGGCTACTTTGAAAAATGTGATGTTTCATATATAGCGAGCTTTCATCTAACTTTGTCAGCAGGATGTCACTCTGGAAAAGAACTTTGCCGACGTTCTTCTCTGAATTGATCTTCGAATATCGTGCCTTTCGTGTCTTCAACGGTATCGTCTCGGCTCCCTTCAATTTCCTGAAATAATGATGCTATTAGTGAGCTACAATTCCATTGATCCCAATCATGTATGTGCCTCTTACCTTGAGCTTGCGATCAATTTCTGCTTTCTTTTCATTCGATAGTTGAAGCTTTTTCATCATCTTACTTCTCAACTCAGTCAATTTGCTGCCAAGTGAAAGAACGCCAGTCTTTTCGAAGAGCTTAAAAGTGCTGTGGTGCTTATTATTTACAATTTCCAAGGTATCCGTCAGCGTATACCTTTTTGAACTTCGAGAGTGTCGCGGCTTTAATTTTTTCGCCGAGATTTCCTCCTTTGAAGAATTCTTTGACTTTGCCAAGATCGAGCGATTGGGTTGCCACAACTAGGAAGAGTAGAAGCAGTGTGAGCCTCATCCCTAAATGTCCAGTAATTTTCTATCCGAAGTGGATATGAAAAACATTGAAAAGTGTAATTTCCTTAGAGGAGAACACTCGTGAAGAGCCTAGGGAGATGAGGGGAGAACCATCCCACAGTTTTATATACCAACACGCTATGTTGAACGGGGAGTTTGAACAACTGTACTGAACCATAACTATGTACAGAAGCAAGACTCGGCATCCAGTGTGACTGGTTGACACACGTTTGTGCACCTGTTTTCTATGACCTGATGAAGGTGGTGCTGCTCACGAAAACCGTCAATGGCATACTGTGTCAGTTACCATTTCCATAAGTTCATGCATCGCAAAGAACATCCAGTTGGTGCTTATAAAGGAAGTTCGGTTAATCAAGGGAGGGCATCTACACATGGGAGCTCTACCAGACCACACAGTAACCACACGTTTATTACTTCGGATAC